GGGATCGGGCAGTGTTTCGTTCTGCTGTGCATGGGGTCGCTATGAGTTGGAAATGACTCGACGGCACTTAACAACAACAACAGGTGGATAGAGTTACTCCTGGGTCCTCAATTCTGTTCCATTTGTCTATGTGTCTGTCACTGTGCCAGGATTTTTAACTGCTGTGGCTGTGTAGTAGGTACTGCAATCAGGGAGTTTGAGCATCCTATTTTGTTCTCTTATCCAGGGTCTCTTTCCTTTCCATATAAAGTTGGTGATTAGTTTTGCCATCTAGTTAAAAAATGTTGCTGGAATTTGGATTGGGATTGTATTATGTTTGTAGATTGCTTTCAATAGGTAATACTGAAATTTTCACAATGATATGTCTTCTTATCCTTGAGCATGGTATATTTTTTCATTTATGTAGCTCTCTTTTTTTTTTTTTTTTTGCAGTAGTGTTTTGTGATTTTCTTTGCATAGTTTTTCCATATCAATTTATATTTATTCCTAAGTATTTTAGCTTTTTGAGGGCTATTGTAAATGGTATTGTTTTCCTGTTCAGATTTCTTTAACAGAGTAATCCAACTGAATTTTGTATGTTGATCTTATATTCTGCCACTTGGCTGAAATCTTATATGAGTTCTGGTATCTTTCTTGTGGATTATTTGGTATTTTCTATGTATGTAATCATGTCATATACAAATAGGGAGAGTTTTACTTTTTTCCTTGCCAAGTTGTATGTCCTTTATTTCTCTTTCTTGCCTTATTGATTTAGCTAGATGACCCTATACTTTACCAACAATGATGTCCTTTTGTAGCAGTTAGTGTTTCCTGATGATGTGTCCAAAGTAAATGAGTCAAAGTCTCATCATCTTCACTTTTAGGGAGCATTCTACTTGTATTTCTTCTAAGACTAATTTGTTCATCCTTTTGTCCTTCTATAATATATTCAGTACTCTTTGCCAACACCAGCATTCCAATGCATCAGTTCTTCTTTTGTCTTCTTTTGTCATTGCCCAACTTCCATATGCATATGAGGCAATGAAAAGACCATGGCTTAGGTCAGATGCACCTTAGTCATCAAAGTGACACCTTTGTTTTTTAAGAATTTAAAGTAGTGTTTCACAACAGATTTTTCCAGGGCAGTACATCATTTATTTCTTGACTGCAGCTTCCACGGATCAGTTGATTGCTTATCCACATAAAATGAAATCATTGACAAGTTCAATTTCTTCTTTATTTACCATAGTGTTGTTTGTTGATCCAGTTTTGAGGATTTTCATCATGTTCAGGTATAATATATACTGAAGCCTGTAGTTAGTGCTTCAAGTTGTTTTCATTTTATCCAGCTTCATTTACTTAATAATGTGCTTGATAAATTTATTCTACTACTCAGTGGATAGTCCTACAAGTTCTCAGGATTACTTGAAAGCATTGCTTTAGCATGGACTCCCAGTCTGTATTGGCCAATAAGAGTGTTCTTGCTGGAAGTGCATGCTCATAAAGGTTTTCTTACTGGAAAACACACACACATGAATTAATGGGCTATTTTTACTTCTGATTTTTATTGTGAACCCTATAATGCTGCAACTTGTATAGTCATCATGTAACCTGGAGGGGATCTAATCTGATAACACAGTCTGGGAATTGAAATTTGGAACTGACCAGGGTTCTTGCTGAGGTCACTGATTTGCTGTAATAACCAAATGAAGAAATGCCCTGTCTCAACATTTCTTGATCTGTGGGATAATAATTACAACATTATGAAACCCAGTTGAGTAGAGAGTTTTCAGTTTCTTGTAGCCCAGAGTTTCTTAACTCATATATCTTAACATTATTTTTATATCCATACAATCTCAAACCAAACCAAACTCACTGTCATCGAGTTGAGTCAGACTCATACAGACCTCCATTAGGTTTCTGAGATGGTACTTCTTTATGGAAGCAGATTGCCCCATATTCCTTCTGTGGAATAGCTGGTGGGTTTGAACTGCCAACCTTCTGGTTAGCAATCAAATACTGAACCACCAGAGCTCCTTATCCAAATAAAAGTAAGTCTTAAATGATAAGTATAAAGTATGAGCAGAATAAGAGTTTATTACAGTTTCCCAAAATGCAGAAATAATTTACTTATGGATTTGTTGGTTAGGATTACTATATTTTGTCAATTCATGTGAGTTTGGATACTTAGTCAATTCACCTTTGTTTCTAAGTGGTATGGCATGGAACAAAGCATTTTAAAATATCTGAGACAAGCCACTCCTTGGAAGGAAGGTTGGGCAATCTACTTCTGTAGTGATACTGCCTCGGAAACCCAAGAAGGGGTCGCTATGAGTTGGGTCCAACTCGACAGCACCTAAAAACAACAACTATAGTAAAATAAAGGAAAATGGGAAACTTGGTTTTGAACTAAACATTTTATTGAAATGTTAAGCTACACCATTAAGATAAGGATCTTGTTCTGATTTCATGAAAACATTCAGTGTAATCAGTTTTTAGAAAATTGATCATAAGTGTAGTAGTATATTACCATTTTGAATCATTTCTATTTTTACTATTATATGAATTTCCATAAGTTTTAGAAACTGGAATTTAAAGTACACACAGTGGATCGTATCTGATCTTAATGCTACTATTTGAGATGATTAGATACATATTCCAGGCTTCCTGATGTTGTACCATATAATGGATTTGAGAAGGAGTATACAGAACTCTAAAAGAGAAAAATATATTTAAAAGTTAGGATTTTAGGCATTGAAATAAGAGTCTTCTTTCAGGCTCATGAATGTAACAAGCTTCTTACAGATTTCCATTGGTGTAATAAGTACGTAGGCCCTGACTCTCCTTCAAGCACTCCAAACCACACTGACTGAACTACTGACACAAGGCCTAGTCTGTGTGTGCCAGGATCCTCTGGGCACAAGTGTCATTGCCATATCTTCCACTTCTACTGGGATAGGTTGCTGTGGCAATTTCTTGATGACCTCTTTCCCCAACACTGGCTTTGGCTTCCCTAAGCCTGCTCTACTGAATATGGTTAAATTAAATAAAACAAAAACAAAGTAAAACAACAAACAGCTTTCAATTGTTAGAATTATATTTTACAGAATTTATTGTTGGTCTGTGTCATTGAGTCAATTCCGATTCACTGTGACCCTATATGACAGAGCAGAACTGCCCCATAGGGTATCCCAGGTTGTAATATTTACAGGAGCAAATGGTCTGGTCTTTTCTTCCACAGAGCTCCTGGGTGAGTTCTAACCATTGACATTTTGGTTAGCAGCCAAGTGCTTAACCATTGTGTCATCAGGGCTTCTTCAGAATATATTAGAAAATCTAAAATGTGGGATGTGCTATAGGACAAACAAACTGGTTTCCTCAACAAATAAATTGCAAGGGAAAAAAAAGAAGGAAAAAAAGAGAAAGAAATGGAACCTAGAGATGGAAAGAGATTGGAGAGATATGTCTATCAAATTGGATGCATATAACTTATATGGATGCTGATTTTAAAAATATAGTGAAAAAATAATACAAGCTTGATGGCATTAAGAAATTATTTTTAAATGTTGAGGTATGATACCACATTTATGCTTTTGAAAGTGCTTATTTTTTAAAGCTACAACTGAAATCTTTACAGTAGGAGCTGACTCATAACGACCCCTGCTTGGGTTTCCAAGGCAGTATCACTACAGAAGTAGCTTGCCCGATCTTCCTTCTGAGGAGTAGCTGGTGGGTTTGAACTACCAGACTTCTGGTTAGCAGTCAAATGCTTTAGGCACCATGCCACCAGAGCTCCTAATTTTACTGAAAAAAGAGGAGAGAAAGCTTTTCCTTGCCATTTTCTCTCTAGCCATGCTTCTTATTTTACTGATAAGTGGTAGCCCAAAAATGGGCCAAGAAAGATATAATAAACTTTAATTTCTTGTTTTTCTGTTCTGTGTCCTTTTTTGTCTTTTGAAATAAAAATGGAGAACATTAAGTGGATAGTAGGAATTATTGATATTGTGAGGTTTGCTTAAAACCATATGGTGAGTAGAGGTACTAGGTGTTGCTAGAGATGAAACAAGAATGGTCGTGTGTTGATTGCTGAAGTTGACTGATGAGTACAAGTTGGTTCATTATACAAGTCTCTCAATTTCTATGTAAGAGTATCAGAGTTTTCTATAAGAGCTTTCAGAAAAATATTTTAAAGAAGTCTATTTTTTCTGCTATATTTTGGGATAAAAAAGAATTGAGATATTAGCAGATTAAATTTTTTTGGCACTTATATTAAAAGGTCAAGTTTTTGCAAGAAACATGAATTTTATTGTGATGTCAGGGAAGACAGACTTAGTTTAATTAATAGAAAGTAATTTGTTCTTGAAACAAAATAAATCAAAATAGCAATAAAGATCAGATGCGACAGGCTTTCTCCTTTAGCCATTCTTAATGAAGGAATAAGGAATATATAAAAGGGATATATTTTCTTTTATTAAAATAGAAATTGGAAAAATAATTCCTTTAGAATTCTCTAGGATCATCGATTGATGCACAGTGAAAAACATCTTGAAAGACAAATCTTTACTATGGATCAGAAAAACCGATCTGAACACTAGAGAAACAGCAGTCTGCGTAGAAAGTAAAGGATGCACAACAACTTCCTAGCAATATTTTAAGTTTGGTATCAACTCAACTCATTGCTGTCGAGTTAGATCCGACCCATAGTGACCCCTTCTTGGGTTTCTGAGGTGCTATCTCTATGGAAATAGATTGCCCAACCTTCCTTCCAAGGAACGGCTGGTGGGTTTGAACCACTAGCCTTCTGGTTAGCAGTCAAATGCCCTATGCACTATGCCACCAGAGCTCCCAAGTTTGCTATATATTTATGTAAAAAAAAATACCAAATCTAAAATAGCTCAGTTTAATTCTTTGTCATTTGTATCTTTCAGATATTAAAAGTGAAACTAAGTTGAAAATAAAAAAGATTAAGTTTTCTTTTCCTTACAAAAAATAAAATTTCTTTTACATTTTCCTATTTTGTCAAAAAGATACATTGCACTTGATTTCTTAAATATGTATATATGTATTTATTATGCATTGAGTAGGGCTACATTTTTATTTTTAATATATGTCTTGATTATATAAATCATCCAAATTACTTCTCTTTGTGTTCTGATAGATACCCTACTTTTTGTTTTCATTCCTACAAAATTATTTTCTAAAAGTGTGTATCACATCATTATTGAAGAAACAAAGAAATAAGAAAAAAGGCAGGAGTTCTGGTAGATTCCAGTCATGTCACCCAAGCCTCTGAAATCATTAAAAATCATCTGATTTGACCTTTTGCTTCTCATATTCAATAACTACAAAAACATAAAAACTCTTTATGACCTATTTTCATGAAAAAAGTCAGAGGGAAAAAATTCAAACTTTAGCTTACTATATGCTCACTTTTAGAAGGGTATGACTTAGATTACTTTGTTGTTGTTGTTGTTATGTGCCTACGAGTCGGCCCCGACTCATAGAGACCCCTCCTTGGGTTTCCGAGGCAGTATCACTACGGAAGTAGGATTGCCCAACCTTCCTTCCGAGGAGTGGCTGGTGGGTTTGAACCGCCAGCTGTCTGGTTAGCAGGCAAGTGTCTTAGCCACTATGCTACCAGAGCTACTTTAGATGTTTCTAAAATCAAATGTAAGAAACTTTTATAGATGGAAATGATATGTCATGGCCATCATATTTTATATCCAAAACCAAACTCACTGCCATCCAGTCAGATCTGACTCACAGAGAACCTAGCTTGGGTTTCCAAGGCAGTATCACTACAGAAGTAACTTGCCCAATCTTCCTTCTGAGGAGTGGCTAGTGAGTTTAAACCACCAGACTTCTGGTTAGCAGTCAAATGCCTTGGGTACCATGCCACCAGAGCTCCTGATTTTACTTAAAAAAGAGGAGAGAAAGATTTTCCTTGTCATTTTCTCTCTAGCCTGCTTCTTATTTTACTGATAAGTGATAGCCCAAAAATGGGCCAAGAAAGACGTAATAAACTTTAATTTCTTCTTTTTCTGTTCTGTGTCCTTTTTGTCTTTTGAAATAAAAATGGAGAACATTAAATGGATATTTACTGTGAGTAGGTGACTAATACTTTTTGGGTTATATGATGTTTTCTAGATTTGTCAGCTCTCTTTGAGTCTGATCAGTGACAACAGAGTCATTAACAGTGAACTGAATGTGTCCTGGAATGGAAAAGTCTTATTGCACATTTAGAGATGGAAACACCATTCTCTCCCCAATTTAAAAAACTCTATTAAAACCTTCCTCTAACTTGTGATGTGGAAACATGCCCAAATGACATCATGGTTGATTTTGCTTGTTTGTGTATGTTCCTGCCATTGAAACCACACAGTTCACTATTGCCACTTACCTCTGTTTTGTCTGGGTTGCTCCAATTCCCATAAACTGGATTGACAAATGCACAGTTACTCTTTGCCTCCATTTTCCTTAAAGCACAAAGAGGCACACACACACAAATGTTAAGTACTGAAATGCACCACAGTATGATTTTAAGTTATTATCTGGTAGAAATTTTGAGAGACACATTATCTAGCCAGCAAACTTATTTTTATAGATGCATTACCATAAGTAAATAATTTATTTTTCAGGACACCAAAGCAACCACATTTTTGAAAGCAGATGTGATTTGAACTCTGAATATCTAGATACAAATAAACCCAGGTTAAAAAAAAATGAAGTGGCATAAGTTGGCCTTAAAATCAATTTCTTAAAATATTACTCAAATAATACAAAGAGTAAACATAAAAAGAATAATGTAAGATAGATCTGTTCTGGTCGTAAGGAAAAGCCATCTTTAAATTCCTGTAGACTTCAAATATGCCAAACCATCATACCCTTAGGACAGTGTTCCATGTCAGTCTCTGCATAAAGATCTGTAGCATGTGAGTCAGTCTTTAACATTTTAAACAGCACACTTAAAAATCGGTTGTTTAGAAGAGTTCCTTATGTTAGTATTTTATATCATGAAAATCATAAAGAGATATGTCCTTGGTATTCTCACATATCACTCTATATCTGCATAATTCCCTCTGACTAACTAGGCTTTTCTTTTTTTTTTTTTTTAAATTTTATTGTTATTTGGGTGAAAATTTATTGACTATATTCATCTTCCAGTTCATACTTTGTCCCATGACATTGACTGCAATCTCCCACAATGCAACAGCTCTCCTCCCACTTCCTCCTCATAGCCACCTCTTCCCTGTGTCCTTCCCTCCTATGCACTCCTGCCCCCCAAGCTGTCTCCCTGTGCATACACAGCCCTTCTGTTCTCCCATCATTGATCTCTCTAAGGAGTATATCTACCTAATGTAAATGTACAGCTCATATACCTGTCTTTTATTTGTCTGGAAGCCACTGGAATGGGTTTACTTCCAGACCTGAAGGGCAACTAGGGGCCATTGTCTCAGGGGTTCCACTAGGCTCCATCAGACCAGCAAACCTGGTCCTTTTTTTTTTTTTTTTATGATTTTGAGTTTTGTTCCATATTGTTCTCCCACTCTATGCAGGACTCTTAAATGATGATTTTATTTCTATACTATAATTAGTTAAGAGTCGTTGTTGTTGTTGTTATGTGCTGTCGAGTTGGGCCCGACTCATAGTGACCCCTCCGTGGGTTTCCAAGGCAGTATCAGTATAGAAGTAGATTGCCCAAACTTCCTTCTGAGGAGTGGCTGGTAGGTTGAACTACCAGCCTTCTGGTTACCAGTCAAATGCCTTAGGCACTATGCTATCAGAGCTCCCTAAGAGTCATTAGACTTTCTAAAAGGCAAGCAGCCCTGGAAGAGTGGGTCACAAGTGATGAAGAAAAAATACAATCACAGGAACAAAAAACAAAACATAACCAAAGAACAAAGTACAGCCTATTAAAGATATAGGGAAGGATTCCACACATGCATATTGTGGTAGTTAGAGTTATGTGTCACTTTGGCTGGGCCTAGTTTTGAGTGGCTGGGCAGCTGGATGTAGTTATTCCTCATGATGAGACTGGTAATTGGCTCCATGGTGGAATGTGCCATGAGCAACTGAGTAGCTGCTTTAACAATATGGTCTGCCTTCAGTATATAAGGAGAAGCTTTGGGAATGGTCTTGAACTTCTTGGTACATCTAAATCCTGCATTTGGCCAAGTCTTCATCTCAATGGCCTTCCATGTTGTCTGCTGATCTTGGAACTGTCAATGGACTTGAACTAGTGGGTTGCCATGTTGTTAGGTAATCTTGGGACTGTGTCATTTTATTTGTTGACTTTGGAGTTGTCAGCCTCAGGAGCCAGCACCTTTCTGAGTTAAGAAAAGCCTCCAGCTTCAGTGGGACGAGAGCAAGAGGCAGAGCCTAAGGTTGAGAAGCTTTCACCCAACCCCTAGAGCTGGCACTTTGAACTTGAACTTCTAGCCTCTTAAATTGTAAGAGAATAAATCCCTGTTTGTTTAAAGCTACTCATTTGTGGTATCTTTCTGTTAGAGTAGCACTAGGGAGCCAAAACACATATAAACACGCATACATACACATATGTACACACACAAGCACTATGGAAAATGGAAGAACAATCCAAGGCCAAAGTCTTGAGGAGAATCAGGAAGAAAAACAAAACAAAACAAAGAATGAATAGTTATGAGTTGGTCCAATTAAATTGAAATTATGGTGCTTTATTTTTTGTCTTTACTTCCTCTATGGAGGAAGACTCATTAACAATCTGTGATATGCAGGTGATACAACCTTGCTTCCTGAAAATGAAGAGGACTTGAAGTACTTATTGATAAAGATAGAAGACTACAGACTTCAGTATGGATTACACCTCAACATAAAGAAAACACAAACTCTCACAAATTGACTAACAATCAATATCACAATAAATGGAGAAAGGGTTGAAGTTGTCATGGGTTTCATTCTACTTGGATCCACAATCCACACTAATAGAAGCAGAAGTCAAGAAATCAGATGTATTGCACTGGGAATATCTGCTGCAAAAGACCTCTTTAAAGTGTTAAGAAGCAAAGATGTCACTTTGAAGACTTGTTGTTGTCATGTGCCGTCGAGTCA